ATTGTTATGTCTTGCAGCCAAAGTGTTATGTAATGTCAAAGGGGTTAAACTTGGTAAAAATTGTTGTTTTATTTTTTTCACTTTTTAAAAACAGAAAAGGCACCAACCACAAAAAAATTCTGAGATGCTGAACAGGAAGCGCAGGGCAACCATTCACAGTGATATGCACTGGTAATTAGTTTCAGGGTCGAATTTAAGGTTGCTTTTGGAAGATACCTCTTTCAGAAATTGCCTCTTTCCCATGTCATGCAGACACAACTACAGTCAAGACCCCATAGCCTAAGACCCCCCCCCAGAATAAAAGTAAGGTGTCTGTTTAAAGGGACATTCACCAAAAGAAGTTATTAACCTTGGGAGAGCCACCGGTTTGAAATAGCCTTCATCTGTCGATAAAAGAATTAGATTCCACTGCAAGAACTTTTACAAAGGCTACTGAGGACACGTAATAAAATGACAATCATTTGCACAACAGAATATACTGACTGGGTTTGACTTCATCTTTAAATACTCTATTGGTTTGGAATAAGCAAAATCTATCAGTGAATCTCTTCTCTGACTATTTTATATCAATGGCACAGGCTTGGGATACACACTTTTTTAAAACTATGAATCTAAATAATTTTTTTCAATAGTGTCAAGCAAAGATTTGTTGCTGGTTAGGTCACAAAAAGGAAATAAAGCATCAATCAACCTGAAAACTGCAGTGAGAAACAAAGAAGCCCAAGTTATAACAATTCAGGTAAAAGTTGCATTTTGAAGTATAACTGTGTAATAAATTCATTCTCCAGGAAAAGCAGTAAAGGAATTGGTAATAAGTGGCATGGACGTAGACGGCGACAAGAAAGAAGAACCTGCTAACGGAACAAGTAACATCGAGAGCAAAACTGAGTCAAAATTCATTCTTAGACAGCTCTATTGATTCAGCACACAAGAATAAGAACTAAATGCAAACATTTTTAAAAGTTACTACTGTGCAAAAATATGGCAACATCAAATTATCGGCATTTATGTCATGCTTTGTTGGGTGCCAAAAGCTTTTGGGCAGTAGTGACCTATAGATAAACAGAAGCATGGATAAGAACTTATACCTGGCTTTAAAATTTTATTGTATATACCTATGGAAAAAAGAAACAAAATTACTAGTTGCTAAAATAGCTCCTTTAATATGGATAGCAGAAATCTTAATGAGGCCTTCAAGCCCTATTCCAAAGATGTCTTCTAAATAAATCTGAGCATTTTTCAATACTGTGAGAATATTAAAATATAAAAGCAACAGCTTAGCATATGACACCTGGACAATGCAGTGGATCAATATTCTAGGTTTTCACCCGTGGAGATGTGGTTTCAAAATGAACACGTAAAAGGAGTTGATGACCATATTAGAGGTCCCAACGGACAAATAAACAAATCATCACGCTGCCACGACACGACTGGCACTCTCTTACCAAGGAAGTGCTAAAATAACAGTACTGCAGGTGCATTGGCTGAGGTGTCTGAAATAAAGTTGGAAAGTGACTGAGTCACATTTGGATCCAGCCACTCCTATAACTAACACTTTTATGAGTTTGTATTTTCTCTTTCTTTCTGCAACTGATGATTTTTCACTGTGTGATATTATGTAAGATTTTTTCCATCAAATTATGTTGCTTTATTTTCTTAAGTCTAGAGCCAGAATGATACACAAGCCCTATCGCCATGCCTCTGCTTGAAAACTTTATTGCTTAGAGTATTTTGAAAAACTTGCATGTTTTTCCTAAGGTGTCACAAGCAGCACATAAAAAAAAAATCCTTAATGAAAAAAGCCCATTTTTCCTATCATAATGTGTTTTTGATGCTGAAGAGAATCTGTAAACATACTTCTGTCTAATAAACTAGGACCTGCATGTCACATACCCTGCCGTTTTCCTAGGAATTCAAAAATCAGCTGGTAGCCTTCACTTCTCATACCTATTTTCTAAAAAGCACTGGGGAATTGCTGACAAGGTTCAGCATTGTGCAGAATATTAAATATCTTTTTTGTAATACTCTAGTGACTCTTGAGTCTGTCTGTTGCAGCACCATATGTACAGCTGTGTTGGAAAGAGGAAGCTATTAAATATATTAAAAAGTAGAAATATTACCAATAGACACTTCATCAAATAACTGGATCTCATTTATCCCCAAACAAAGCAAGAAATGTTAAGGTTACATCAACACAAGAAAAATCACTCTGGATGTAATAATACCACAAGCCTGTTGAACATATTTGAAAGCAGAAACATTGTTTAATAAAACAGATTAGTATTTCTGAAACAAAGAAAATAGCATTTAGGTATGAGAATTCTACGCAGCTAAGAACAATGGACCTGATATAGAGACACTAGGCAGCTTTGGTTCCCACTGGCATAACTGGAATTGAAGTTCATGTCTGAAAATACCACACCTATGTCAAGTGGCAATTACAAAGTTATATGAAGATAGGTATTTAATAAAAGGAAAGTCAAGAAAGAAAAGAATGTAAACAAAGCTCATTTTATTTGAAAGCCTAAATTCATATTACACACACACACACACGCACACACACGCACAGATTTGTCCTCTTTGAAACATGCATGGATTTCCAAATCAGGAGTAACAGGAAACAGCATTAACATGTATACACACATTCAAAGTAAAATGTTCAAAAGCACATATGTTCATTGGAAGCATAAGTCTTATTCCAAAAAATGGTTTATTACCAGATGTTTCAATGCAGTTAGAACACCTGAAGATGCAGAGAGGTATACAGTGAGATTTTCAAAAACACCTAAGTCCCTTTTCCCACGGATTTCAAATGGAAATTAGATGCCTAGGGGCTACTGAAAAATACACCTAGGAGTCTATCTGGCCCTTGGGCACCTAAAAGCCAAAGTCTCAGTGATTTTTAAAAAGCTAAGCCTCCTAGGTACCTAAGTGACTTTGAAAATGCGGCAATAATTTACTCCATAGACCCAGTCTTAAAATGGGTAAATGGCAGTGGACTCTGGTACTCTTGTGGAACTGCTCTGACTTCAATGAGACTGCAGGACTGCAGCAGGCCACTCACGTGCTATGAAATGCAGTATAAGGGTCTCTCCATCAGACTTTGACAGTAAGAGCATTAAGATATAGGGGATATGGAAACTTGTGACAGCCACAAATATTCAAAAAGGAAACAGAAAAAAACACCTAAAGATTAATTTAGTTATCATAAAAACCCTGTTAATTACCTCAGTTTGTACAACCTTGGAAGTCAAGACAGTCGAGACAAGGAACAATTTTCGTAATATATAGTTTATGTTAAAAAAAAAAAAATACTATAGTCAACTTATAAAGCTACACCTCGCTTCTGCAAATTTCCTTTCCTGTGCCCTTGTGACAAGGTATTTAGCAAAACTGAGATTCATTGGCATCAGACAGGCCATGCTGCGAGCAGCCTCAAACTTGAGACCTCTGGGCTGTCAACGGTGCACCTTAGCACCCATGCCAACCCAGCACACGCTCCTACCACTACTTCATTGGAGTAGAAAGCATGCAAGCAGGCCCAGAGTTTCAAAACCATATCCTTAACTTAAAGCAGTAATTTTCAACCAGGGTGCCAGGGCACCTTGGGGTGCAGCAAGATCTTTTGATGGATGCCGCAAGGAGAAAAGCAGGTGTGAGAAGGTAAGTGCAGGCTCAGGTTGGTCCCCATCTGACCAGGTTTTGAAATGGGATACTGCTCAATTCAGAAGTTATGGAGGGGTGCCTTGAGTCGAACAAGGGGTTCCTCTACCCTAAAAATGTTTAAACCAGTGACTTAGAGCTTTAACTACATTGTGTTTGGGGCCAATACCGTTAAAACAATACAACTCCAATGCAAACAGCTACTCCGCTATAAAGCTCTTTATATGTATACACGTTTTTAACATCAATGCACAGGAATAACCTATGCTTGTACCTTTATGCCAATGTAACTATGGTCACGTTAGGGGCCATAACAGTTAATTAGTAAAAAAGGAAAAAAAAAAGGCACAAAGCCCCAACAACACAATTTAAATTAGAATTACAAAACAAAGATCTGAGTGTTGATCAGTCTTTACGTTACTGTGTTTGATTAAGCACCCTTACTGCACAAAATGCTATTTATAAACCTAAATGTGCCATTATTTCCATTTGGCATTCAGAATTTGCTAGGGAAAAAAAAAAATCACAACTTGATTTGACAAAACTCATGGAAGTTCCTGCTAGAGCAGAAACTTCTCTACCAGTTTCTCTGCATGGGCCTGCAGCGTAAAGTAGCAAGCAAGATTAAGGCCCAAGATCCACTGAGCATCAGAAAAGTACGAGGCTACCATGGCAAGCTTGAACCAAAGAGTTCAAAGATGACCAAATGAATAAGCTTGGACAAATTAGAATCACGCTGTTTGCAACATATGTCAATACGGACACTGTATTACTTTGAACATGATGGAGTTTAAACACACATGACACTGTTTGAACAAATCCAATACAGACACTATAATAGGCAAAGTGATGCGACACGCATGATGGAGCTTGCCTAATATAATGTCCATACTAGGTTTATTCAAAGTGATGCGACACACGTGATAGAGTCTGAACGAATCCAGTACGGATGTTATATTAGGCAAAGTGATGCTACACACGATGGAGTTTGAACGAATCCAACACGGACACCGTATTAGGCAAAGCGATGCAACACGCATGACGGAGTTTGAACGAATCTGAGTTGCGAACCCGGTTCAAACTTTGCAGCCCACATTGATAACAACAGCACTATTCAGGAGCAGAAAAATTAAAAATATAACATTCACAGGGTATATTAAAAATAACATTTTTTTACAGGGCGGAGATCTCCAAAATCCCCGCTGACTTCGGGGCAGCTACGCCTGCACCCCAGGTCCCGCCGGCAGGACAGTGCGTAACGCACCTGTTCACGACAGGCAGTTTAATTTGGGGCAGATAAACACAAGCCAGGCAAACAAGACGAAAAGGGCACTTACTCCGTTTTCCTCCTTTGCTTGTCCTCAAAGATCGCGTTCAAATTGATAGCCACCTGCCCCAAAAACTTGTCCAGCCCCACCAGCGACCTGTGCATGACCACCAGGCAGAGGATGTACTTCTCGGGGCTGCCTTGCACCAGTAATCCCGGCAGCTCAAACGAGGCCTCTTCTTTCCACACCGGATCCAGCGTCTTCTCGGCCACCGAGGTGGAGTACTTCTCCTTGCCCAGCTGAATGATGGTGTACGTGTCGTTGGTGCCGTTCTTGCCTTTGGGCTTCAGGGCTTTGGCTTGCAGGACCGTGACCTGCACGTGGGTGGGGAACCACCGCTGGGCTTGCTCGGACAGCATCCTCTCGGGCGGCGGGGGGGGGCACCAAATACAAGGGGTGGGGGCTTTAAACCCGGGGCCCCGGAGCAGACGAGGAGCCGCTGCTCATTCCCGGAGGGGGGAGGGGGGGTTCTCCCAAATTA